TTATCAATAGATCTACGGCCTTGGCTTGCGCTATTAAGCTGCGATTGCGCATATCTAAAACCAAACTACTCACGGACTCGTAGCTAGGTTTTAACCTCAGCTTGGCGCTAGGGGTCAGTCTAGTTTTCAAAACGAAATCAATTAATTGTTTTTTGCCATTTTCGTTAAGCATATCACTATACATCACAATACTATCTATCAGTTGAGTAGTAATATTTTCGTGGCCTGTCATTATTGGCAATAGGGCTATTGCAGTTTTTAAATCAAAGGCGCCCATGCTGGCTGAGTTATTGGAACTTTCTGATTCACGAGACATTAAATTTAAAATATTACTGTACAAGATATGTATGTCGTCTATGCATCTATTAATAACCTGAAAATCATCGCTACTTATCTCAGAATTCTCTATTTTTAGTTTGATTTTAGACGAAATATACTCCAAACGACTGTACAGATTTTTCGCTTCACTAACCTTTTCTTTTGCTGTATCGGAACTCTCTCTACGTTTTGGTCCGATTTTCACTAGATAATCTCTAATTTCTTTTAAACTACACATTATTTAGTTCAGCAAGTGACATTGAAAAAATCGACAAATATAATTTCTAACAGTAAAGGAAAAGGAAACTATTATTTACACACTATGTAAAAACACTTAAAAATTATAATTTCACTTACTTGTTAAAATATCACGTACATACTAATTACAAGGGCGGGGCGATGGTGTTTGTGGATGTAACCATTTTTAGGGCGGCGCGAGCAAGCGGGAACAGCACTGCAAACAGGATGTGTGCAGTGACTGCATGAGGTCATCCTTCTTGAAGCGGGCCGGGTATTACCCTGGACACCTCTTGAGATCTTCTAGTTAGTTGTAGGCAGAAGCGAGATTGCGTTGAGTTCTCGCCTCAGAGTTTTCACGGCACTCTTCCTGCATTTTTTCATCAGGTAATAGATAACTGCTGCAGCCAGTATAACCACGGATACAATCATGAGGGTTTGTATGATGTGGTTTGTGTGAGCGTCTTCTAGGCTTGTATTTGCGGATGCTGCACCATTTGCGTTTTGTGCTATGACTACTTCTTTCGACTGCGATTTTCCCATTTCGTACCTTTATTTCTCTTTGGATTTCTGGCGTTTCTTCTTGGTTTTTTTTTTTGTTTTCTTCAAAATAGGGCGCTTCTTTTTTCTTTCTTCAGAATTTGTGCTTCTTTCTTCTATATGGTTTTCTTCATTTTTCTGTAAGGTTTTCTTCTTTCTTCTACGCACATACACTCGCATGCATTCATCGGCACGAGTGTGTGCACACACAAAAGCAAACTAACACACGCTATACCGCGCACACACACACACACACACACACACACACACACATACACGCACACACACACACACGCACACGCACGCACGCACGCACGCACGCACGCACGCACGCACGCACGCACGCACGCACGCACGCACGCACACACACACACACGCGCGCACGCGCACACACACACACACACACACACACACACACACACACACACACACACACACACAAACACAAACACAAACACGCACTCAGACGAATACCTTATGTCGTTGTTGCCACCACTTCCGCTACAAGAAGGGGCGCTGTCGAGTTATTCGTTAAAAAATAGTCGTTTATTTCGACCATAAGGATCACAGATGTTAGTAATAATACAAATCTTAAAACTAATTTTAGTGAAACTTAAAACAACCTTATTTTAAAACTATATATAAGACAGGCCCGATTAGTCAGCACGTGTACCATATGATAATGGTTCAGGTACTGACCTCAAACCTGTCAGAAAATGCCCTCAGGATACCATTGGAACTGGCCCGCACCCTGCGCGCCAGGGATGTGCATCGTTTACGCATGGTGGTGTAGAAACAATCCACACGCGCATCCGCGAACATACCCGGCGCACAATAACCAGGCAGACCCAACAGCATGCATTACATAACACGCATTTAATCTGTACCTTGTATCGCCAAAGATACGAAACGGCAACGCCGCGGCTGCATTCAGCCCATCCGATCGTTTATCTTATCACTTGCTGTGCTCTGATTGGCTCATTTAAATCGGATCAACATTTTCCGTAACCATCGCAAGGTGGATTTGTATATCGGATCAACTTCGGCAAACGTTAGCAAACAGTCTTCAAGAGAAACACAATGAAAAAGAATTGAAAAATCTAGAACAGGAAAGAAGGACTAGGACAAGACAAACGAAACGTAGTTTAGCTTATTTTAATTTGAAAACGAAGAACAATAATCTAAAAAAACAGAAAGTGTTGATCTGATTGTGATGGATCTGATGTAAGCTTTCAAGACAGTTTTTTTTTTAATAGGATAGGCTGACAAACGAGCACACAGTCCACCTGATGGTAGGTGGTTGCTGCGGCCCGTAGACATCTACATCTATCCTCGATTACGAATTAAAATGCAGATGCGGTGTCACCCGTGAGGACTAAGATGGAACGCCTCATTTCCAGTAAAAAGGGTCTCCGGTTCTCTACACTCACCATACGAAACACAGCAGCATCAAGCTAACATTTGACGCTGGTATTCTGTGAGAGCGTGGTCTTTCCCCGGTCTAACCGACCCATTCGTGCTACAACTATACTACTAATATAACTACAGCGTGGCTCTACCACGTACAAAAACTTCTATCACTGTTGAAGATGAAATCGAGCATGAAAAATTTGAAATAAGCAGAAACCAATTGCCAGTTGAAGTAATACCAGAAAATATTTGAGACGGTTCGTTTATTTTAGTGAGGTTCCCTAAGAAAACAAGTATTATTAACTATGTAGCAAAAGTTGTCGGCCACTATAGTCAGACTGAATTTAAAATATCTTATCTAAGAAAGAAGCCAGGGTTTTTGTGGAAATTTGTTTTCCCTAATGTTGATGATATTCGTACTATTTATATAACTGATGTTGAAATGATTCTTCCTGAACCTAAGCCTTCAATAGTTTGTACTTCCAGAACATCAAAATTTTTCACTTTTTCAGTAAATTTTTCTAATTTTACTGTTCAATAGTTTTTATTATCTCGTTAATTAACAACAACTTTTTGCAGTGCTACTGCACTTAAGATTAAAAATTTGATTCTAAATTTAAGATAACTGATTTACGTAGAAAATGAAGCAATTATATGCTATTTATATGCTATATATATTTATTGTTGGAGGAAAGTAATTTAATTTTCGTTAATTTTAAGAAAAGTCATTAAGTCGTCAAATGCCTTTTGTACGCCGATGATCAAGTCATTCTTGCGTCATCGGTGGCCGAGTTGCAAATGATGGTTACATTAATGAACGAATCATTAAAAGAAAGGGGTATGAAAGTGAACGCAAGTAAGACGAAGGTTATGGTTTTTGAAAGAGAAGAAAGTAAAACGATTTGTGAAATAAGAATAGAAGGGGAGTTGATCGAGCAAGTAGATGAGTTTGCATATTTGGGCTGCGTATTTAGCAGGGATGGGAGATATGATAAGGATATAGAACGACGAAATAGAGTAAATGGGGCCTTGCACTCTATTGTGAAGAGTCAAAATGTGTCGAAAAAGGCACGTATGGCAATTCACAATGCTGTGTTGGTCCCTACTTTAACGTATGGTAGTGAAAGTTGGGTGTGGCAGAAGAAGCACGAGAGTAGAATAAACGCAGTAGAAATGCGGGCGTTAAGGAGTATGTTAGGGCTGAATCTGAATGACAGGGTAAGAAATTGTGTAATAAGAGAAGAGTGTGGTTTGCAAGATGATGTTTTGACCAGGATTAAGAAAGGAATGCTTCGGTGGTTTGGTCATGTGGAAAGAATGAATAAGGAAAGAGTGACAAAGAAAATTTATGTTGCAGAAGTGAATGGCAGAGTCGGAAAGGGACGTCCTAGGCGAAAATTTATCGACCAAATTGGCGATTTATTGGAAACGGGCCAAATTAGGAGTACCCTTAACCGACGAGCATGTATGCGTAGGTGTATGGATGTGAAGGAGGCGAGAGAGGTGTGTCAGGATCGTGCCAAATGGAAATCTGTAGTCTCTGCCTACCCCTCTGGGTGACAGGCGTGAGTGTTTATGTATGTATATATGTTACATAAGAAAAGCTATGTAATTTTTGTTGAGTATAAGAAAAGTATTTTTAATATTTATTTTTGTTTAATAGAAGTTAAATCTTTATTTTTGTGTTTAATTTCATTGTTAATAAAAGAATTTTGATTTATATGTGTCATTTTAATAGCACGTACGGAACTACCCCACAGCGTACGAAGGCACCCCCCAACACTGTATACAGGTGCCCCGTTGTTGGGGCCGATTCGTACATATTCCAGATTTAGTTTAAATCATAATTTGTTATACGGTTAAAACATCAGATGATATCATCTGTCATTTTTTATATGAATTTCAGGTAGTTAAACTATAAATTTAAGCTGTCAGGTGATGGATAAATGAAAAAATAAATAAAATGTAGAAACCGTACGAAGGGGGTACATTTGCCTAATGGATGGTTGTATAGAAGATATTCTACCAGGAGCACATGAACCACTGAGATGTGAAATTATTAAATCAATAGCAATATTGCAACTATGAAAAATATCTCCTCTATGAAGCAATCTGCAGGGAGGCCTACGTACAGCAGATTTTAATAGGTTGTAACAATAACCATGTTTAAAATTTTCGTCTCTCTGTACGTCTATTCCCAATAATCTTCGAAATGGCACCAGTACCAATTGTAATGAAACTTCACAAATAAATAAACAACAATACCAGTAGTGACGCTATATTTCATCTGAAATGGTTGACATTTAAAATAAAATAAAAAATAATTGTTAAAAATAAATGGTCCTTGACTAACTTAAATCTAAGCAATGCCACATTAAGAGAACCTACCCAAACGAATCTGGAATGAATAGCTTGTTAGGAATAATATGGAAAATGTTGCCATGACTAGACGCAGTATAGTATTAATTTATGAATTACTTAAGAAATGTACTCACCAGGATTGGTGACGGTTACAAAATGCCTCTGTATAGCATTGACGGAGCTCATGGTGCTCGGGCCACAATCCCTGCACAGTTGGCTCTGGGCCTCCACTAGACGACCCAGCGCGAAGTCCACTGGAATATAAATATAAAGAGATCAATTTGTTTTGTGTAGTGACTGCATAAGAAAATAAACTACCGCATACCATCCTGTCAGTGTTGCAAGAGGTGAGAGTGGGAAACTGAAACAGGAGATAGGCAGTAGCATCTTCTTGATAACAGCTTAAAATAATTAAAAACTACGGTTGAAGTATAGAGAAATGGAGACCCTTTTTAATGGAAAAACAATGACTCGCACGTCTCATGATGTCGCACGCACCCATAGCACTTTAACCCATAAAATCTTATATATAAAGAAACTTTTCTATGAAGAAGTTTGGCATTATATAATCAATATGAAATACTCTATCCTCTAGTGCCATTTTCGCGTGAATGTTATTGTGTTGATTTTTGGATTTTTCTAGTGTTTTAGTATAGTGCTTTATTATAAAATTGTAATAAAAGTTTTTGTGTGAATATAATTTATCTTTTTACGTAAATAATTTCGAGTAATATATATTGAAATAATTGTGATTTTCAGGGTGCCGACATTCGTTCGGTATTTTTTTTTTTTTGTAATAAAAATACAATAAAATCTTTTTGTAATGAAGTAAAACCTGACTTTTGTTTAGACCACAGGATAGAAAATTTTATAGATTTTATAATGATACACTTCTTCATAGAAAAGTAGTCTCTAAATATATGTTTTAATGGTTTTAAGCGCTGTGGGTGGGTACGGTCGCATGCGACCCGCTCGGGATTTGATTTTTATGGCGCTTGAAGGGTTACTCCTTAAGGATGTATGTATGTCTATGGACCACAGGCCACAGCTTCCACTTACCATCGGGTGGACTGTGTGCTCGTTTGTTACATTTATTCTATTAAAGAAATCGGCAGTGAAAACATCTCCAATGATGATGAGGACTCAGTATGTACTTATGTATATATGTCTCAGTATGTACACATTCAATACATGATGACCGCTCCATAGCGCAGTGGCTTAGCATCTGAGTTGCAGCGCTGAGAGCTACGGGTTCGAATCCCGCATGTATGGCTTACAAATAATTTTTACGGGCCTGAGTGTTTGTTCTTGTGCAATTTATGTATGTAAATTGCCCCCACGATACAGTAGAAAATCATAGTGTGGAAGTTACGTTTTTAAAAATACAAAGAATTAAAAAAATATATATACATAAATGACACTTACTGTTTAAATTTGGATGTTTATCCCAAGCATCCAAAAGACGAGCCTGGGCAAATTGCACCAACTTGGCAGCAGTTGTGGTTGAACCCCATTTATCGTAATACATCTGAAATATAAATAAATATCCAATTTTAAGTTATAACTGAATGATGGCAACAAGTCGGTGGATGCACGTGGCTCAGGACTCAAGATATCTTTTTCATTTTGTATTTTAAAAAAAATTGATCATCTTGACTTTTTTATAATAATGTAAAATATTTATTATAAAAAAGTCTTGTAATCATTTAAGTATTCATAGGTACATAATCAAATTCCGAGCACACAGTCCACCTGATGGTAAGTGGATGCTGTGGCCCATAGACATCTACATTTGTCCTCGATTAAATCAAAATGCAGATACGTCGTCGCCCCTGAGGACTAAGATGGAATGGCTCTTTGCCAGTTAAAAATATTTCCGGGTATCTACACTCACCATATGAAATAGCAACATTGAACTACTATTCCACGCTGGTATTCTGTGAGAGTGTGGTTCTTCCCTGGTCCAGCCGACGCATTAGTGCTAAAACCACAATATAGCTGCAGCGTGGCTCTACCACATACAAAACCCTATAACAAAATTTATTAACTTACAGCCAGCTCGCATGCAAACACCAGTGCAGCCTCCAGAGATTCCCTGGACATCACCAGCTCAGTCCAGTAAGTAGTAGCCAATGCTATAATGTGGTTGATCCGATCGCTTGGTCTACTTGCTTGGAGCAGAATAACTCCTGCGTTTCGGATATAGGCTTCTCTGTGGACGAGAGATACAAATAATGAGTTAAGTTATGTTACCTACCGTTTATCGTGCATTAGTGGTGTAAGAATATCCACTGCAAAATACAAACTGCGGTTGCCAAACAACCTAGGCCTATGTTCAGCAGTGGACTTTAATAGGCTGGAAGAGTTCTTACAGTATAATACTGTTACGAGCTTAGGGTACGTGACAATAAAAACTGCCGATTGTATTACCAAAATTGACACATTAATTACAGAACACTAATTACAACTTAAAACACACCAGTAATTAATCACACTTAAATTTAATTAGGCTAAATTTTAGTAAATATTTCTTAATAATAGTTTATTACCGGTTTTAAAATTTAAACCTTGCTTTATTTACATTTTTATTTTTATTAGTTTATAGGTTATTATAGGTAGGATAGGCTAATCCCGCCGACAAACTGTTACGCAGTTTGGTGGGTGTGAACAATGTACAAAGGTTTGGTCCAGAATAAATGATTTATTATTTATTTATTATATTTAACACTTTAGTTCACTTTATTTCGCTCCGAAGTCTTCGCTTGTGTCAATTTAATACTACCCCGGTCGCGGCACTAAACGGCTTTATATAGGCCTTTTCCACAGAAACACCTAGAATATTCCAGCAAATACCGGTCCCGACCGACAAGATGTAGAAAATTCGAGTGTGAAGTATACTAGAAAGCTTAGTTCGTCTAGTCGATACTAGATGGCGCTAACAATCACCTGCCATATACCGGACGCTAATTACAGCGCGCAACAATACTCTAAGAAACTCTAAAGTTATTTCAATTTTGATTTCCAAACTTGCTGTTCCCTGTGACTTCGGCCGCGTGGATTTTATGACGATTCAGAGGACTTCATGGGTTTTAATTTATTAGTGCAGAATTTTCTTTTTCTAAAATAATAACAGTAGCCTAAGTTACTCCTTATAACATCAGCTATTTGCCAGTGAAAGTCCCGTCAAAGTAGATCTAGCAACTTCAGAGATAAACCGGAACAAACAGACAGAATTTTACAAATTGTTTTTTTTTTTTTTTTAAATACCTCAATATACCTTCATATCCACTTAGTGAAAGGTGTTATTTTGCCATTACAAACACAAAAATTTTATTTATTTATATAGATTTACCAAATTTATCCTATACCTTTAAACGATCAATTCTTGTATATATATATAATCGGAATCTCGGAAACGGCTCCAACGATTTTCATAAAATTTTGTGTCCAGGGAGTTTCGGCAATAAATCATCTACGGATTTATTTTTAGAAAAAGTCTTTTTGTCCGTGTTTTCAGGCAATGAAAAACTGCTACAATATAAGAAGGTAAATTTTGACATTGTGTTAATGATTGTAATAGCTCAAGTGGATATCGAGCGGTCGGGGAATCGTAATGCCTTAGTTCGCGTCCTGTCTTTGGTCCGACTTTTTTTAAAATTCCCTTCTTTTGTGAGAAAATCTATTATTTCGAGCCCTTTTTTTAGTATTTTTAAAAATACGAAAATTTTAATTAAACTAATTGCTTAAATTTTTTAATTAAAACCGAGCAAAGCTCGGTCATCCAGGTACTATATTATTATTGTAAATAAATCGCTATATGTTATTAAATAAACTTATTTTCTTACTTTCTTTCTATTACTAAAAAAAAATTAAATGGTGAACTTACTTGGCATCAATATGACGAGCCAGCTCGCAGCAGACATGGGCCAGTTGGAGACCATATACGTGGCGATACGTGTGGAGGAACTGCTGGACGAATACTTCGGCGATTTGCAAGCAGTGGTGGAGAAGTGGTGTTACCGGAGCTGCAAACATATTTCATAAAAGAGAATATACTACCCTATATCATCCCGTGAGTATCGTAAAAGGTGACAGAGGGAAAGCAGCGTTTTCCTAATAACGAGTAAAAATTTAAAAACCAGCTTGCCAAGCTAGGCGAATATGGCAAATCTCCCCCCTAAGAGGAAATCTATGGGGGAGGCCTATGTTCCGCAGTGGACTTTTATAGACTGTAATGGATGGTTGTATAGAAGATAATCTACCAGGAGCACATGACCCACTGAGAGGTGAAATTATTAAATCAACAGTAACATTACAACTATGGCAAATATCCCCCCTATGAAGCAATTTATGGGGGATGGCTATGTTCAGAAGTGGACTTTAATGGGCTGGAACGGTAACGATAAGAGGACATGTATTTTCTCCCTCAATAATGACGAAGCCTCCCCCATAGATTGCCACGCACATTATCGCAGTTGGCTGGGTAAGCGCGTTGGCAACTGCTGTTTTTATTATTTTTAGTTATTAGGAATGCCGCTGTCCAACTCGCAGTTCAGTTTCCCTCTGTCATCTCTTAAGACCGATTTACACTTCGACAAGTACAGTAGAAGTTAACTTGCGAACCTAGCGAGTTAAGTTTGAACCTTGTTTGAACGGCGATAAGCGAGTTAAGTAGCAAGTTAACGATTAAGTTGAACGGGATAGCCGGCCGAGCTATTTTTCGGCGAGTTAAGTGCGAAGTGCTGCCCTCCCACGCGTCTCCCGCCACCCGCAACTAAACTCGCCGTTCGTGTAAACGAGCGAGTTTAGTTCAGTGCATAAGATGACAGGACGCAAAGTTTGCGCGCCAAAACGTACAATTATACTTTTATAATTAATCTCGCCACAAAGTTTGTACGATACTGTTTATTGAATATTTATACGTTTTATAATGAGTTTTAATAATAAAATGGACACGAAGATATACGTATAAATTCGTACAGGAGTATTTAGAACACGAATGTTTATATAATAGTAGAAGTTCAAATTGTAAAATTAAACCTGCTCGAGATGCTGCACTCATGAAAAATCTTAAAAACTTCTTTGAAAACAACCATTAATACTCCTCTGACGGGATCATTTAATTCTTAAGCGTAATCCTAGAACCATCTTAAACCAAAACCAGAAAAATTCTGTAGTCTTGAAATGTCATACTCCAACGAACTCTTTGAACTAATGTCCTTAACTAAACTCGCCACGAAGACATTGTTTGAACGCTACTGCCCACTTAACCGTTTACTGTCAACTGCCCTGTAACTAAACTCGCTACTGTACTTGTCGAAGTGTAAATCGGTCTTTACGACACTCACAAGACGATATCAAGGCCACTACACGGCCACTTTTAAAAATAACCCTCTCAGAAATAATTGTATCAGAAACATCATTATAACCACTGTTTCCACTTATGATGTTGGTTTTACCTTAGAACCTATATAAATACTCTCTAATTTATCGTAAAAAAATTAAATAACATTATTTATTGCACCTTATTTTCTATATTTTAAAGAAAAATATCATTGCAAGATTTGAAGAAGCCGTTCTCATTTTCGAATTATAATAACACTTAGTATCATATTAATAACGAATATGTAACTGGGTAAAATATTATACCATTATTCCGATATACCCTGTCCCCTTCGATAATCTTTAAAAAAAATTACATTAGGTGGATATAAATAAGATAAGAGAAACTAAACTAAGCTATGAGATAAAAACAGGGTTACCGGTCCAGGAATTTTACCCCAAATTATATAAAACCCTGTCAACTTGTAAAAACGCCTAAAGCCCTACCTATATTAGTAGATTTAGCCTAAAAGAGTGCAAAATATCTAAAAGTGGAAACATTGCACAGATGCACGGTACGCATTGATGCTTGCGTTGGTGCTCCATAAAAATTTTCGCACCAAGGTGTCGGGGCCATTTTGTTTGTTCAATGACCCGGTCCATAAATAAAGTAAAGTTACAGCCTATATACGTCCCACTGCTGGGCCCAGGCCTCCCCTCATTTCTGAGAGGATTTTAGGGCAAGGAAGTGTCCGCCGCGCTGCCCCAATGCGTGTTGGCGAACTTCACATGTCTTCGAAATTTTTTTTATTCTTCAGACATGCAGGGTTCCTCAAGATGTTTTCTTTCACCGCCGAGCACGTGGTAAATAAGCACTTAAAATTGCAATTAACAATTTTTTGTGTTGGCGTGGTCGAACCCGGCTTACTCGCGTTCTGTTATATTTACAGCGAGCGTTAACCATCTGAGCTACCACGGATCCCTATATTAGTAGATTTACCCTAAAATAGTGCTAAATATCTAACAGTGGAAACACTGCACGGACGCACGGTACGCATTGATGCTCGCGTTGATGCTCCATAAACATTTTCGCACCAAGGAGTCGGTGCCATTTTGTTTGTTCAATGACCCGGTCCATATGCTGTAGCATATATAATAAGTCTACGTTCAGAAATGACACTCCCAGAAATCATAAACGTATTCCGTCTAAACCGAATAGACATCTGTTTTTCATTTTGTTTCTACCCTATTACTTTTTAATTCAGGTTGATCCAACCCGAATGGCAAGTGTACTTTACCAGCATTTAACCGAGGTAATATTTCAGTCCAAATGTGCACAGCCTGTACAGCACAACGCAGAGCTTGATGCTCCTGTGGCAGAGTTCTGAGCACTTGCGCTTGATCAGGGTCCAGGATCTGAAAATTAAATATATTTAATTTTTATCTATTACAGGCTTTTTAACACAATATAACAGTCACGTTGCAGCTAAATCACAGTAGCACGAATGGGTTGGCTAGACCGGGGAAGGACCACGCTCTCACAGAATACCAGCGTGAAATAGTAGCTTAATACTGCTGTGTTTCATATGGAGTGTAGATAACCAGTATCTCCGGTTATTTTTTTTTTTACTGTAAACGAGATCATTAATTTTGGACGTATGGGATGACAATTCATCCGCATTTTGATTCTTAATTGAAGGTAAATCATCTACTTACCGTCAGCTTTTCGCCAATAAAACCACGACAACTCACTTAGTTAACTGTTTTAATCACTATGTTTGTTGTTTAATTTCACTCTTAAATTGTATATAATACTTTATAACACTATACTTTACTTTTATAAAGAGACTATATATTGATTTAACTTTACTCACAACCTTTAGAATCACCTTATTTTACAATAGACTATTATAACCTTCTCAGCACCACTGTTAGTAATCAACTGCCGCGGAGCGTCAAGTGTACGCGCTTTTATATTGTGACTCAACTTTAGAATTAATGTAGGTAGTTTAAAATGGATTCATATTTCTTGGGAAGATTTCTAAGTAATATTGCATAATAATCATTTATCTAACATTACCATCCTTCAAGTGAACTGTATGTTCATATTATTTCGTGGAGTTAGTTAAATAAACATCCTTTAATCTTTATGTCATTCCCATTCTTCACAAACAACATCTGTTCCCAGGAGTGTGACTTATGTGCATCAATTTAAAAACACGGATTTCGTCCTACCCCAGGGGGACCGTGTGCTCATATTCTTTCTTGAAAAAAAGGGGGCAGAAGTTAAATAAACACCCTTTAATCTTTATGTCATTCCCATTCTTCACAACAATCTGTCCAGAGTGTGATTATGTGCATCAATTTAAAAATACACGGATTCGGGTCCGCACTAATTTCTCAATACCATCAGGGGGACTGTGTGCTCATATTCTTTCTATGAAAAAAAGAGGGCAGTGGAGTTAGTTAAATAAACATCCTTTAATCTTTATGTCATTCCCATTCTTCACAAACAACATCTGTTCCCAGGAGTGTGACTTATGTGCATCAATTTAAAATACACGGATTTCGGGTCCGCATTAATTTCTAAATACCATCAGGGGGACTGTGTGCTCATATTCTTTCTATGAAAAAAAAGAGGGCAGAGGAGTTGCAAAATGTCAAATGGCAAAATATCTGGACAAAATTTTAAAATGTCGGGATTTTGGGGGTGGTCGGGAGAAACAAATATTGTAAATAAAAATGTAGAATAAAAAGTTTATTTTTTAAATGAATAGGCTACAAAATGAATTAACACTTTTGACAAATAACTAATTTATGTAGGTACACTTAATTATTAGTTTGGAGTTTACTGGACGGGACAGGACAATACTGAATATACCAAATATAATTCAAAAAATTTACTTCAAAGTACATTTTAATTGCTAACTCAGCTTTTATTAAATCAAAAGCAGCTGTGATGTGAAGAGAAGCTGTTAGTCTGGAGATTTTGAGTTTTGTCGGGAGTCTGGAGATCATTTAAAACAACAGAAGAATCCAGACGAATCCCGACTAACAACCCTGGGTATGTCCCAAGTGAATGTGCTACGCAAATCTAAAGAATTTTTTTAATGAGTAAGGTGACATACGAGCACACACTCCACCTGATGGTAAGCTGATGTTGTGGCCCATAACATCTAAATTTATCCACGATTAAGCATCGAAACGCAGATGCGCTGTCACCGCTGAGAAATAAGATGGAAATCTTCGTCGCCAGTAAAAAACATTAAGCTGCTATTTCACGCTGGTATTGTGGGAGCGTAGTCCTTCCCCGGTCGAGCCGACCCTGTTCGTGCTACACCCATTATATAGCTGCAGCGTGGCTCTACCACATTATAAGAAGTTGCAAAGCATTACGGCTCAAGTTACAATGAGATAATTATATGTGATTTGTATAGATTTCTATATCATAAGTACACTTATATGTCTTATACTTGAGACAATATTTTCTTGAAATTTTAATTGAATTGAAAATAAGTTAGCTAAGATCCACGTAATATAATAAAATAATGTCGTTCACCTTTTTTTTTATATGATAGGGTGACAAACGAACACACAGTCCACCTGACAGTAAGTGGTTGCCGTGGTCCATCGATACCTACATGTATCCTCGATTACGAATCAAAATGCAGATACGTCGTCACCCGTGAGGACTAAGATGGAATGCCTCATTTCCAGTACAAAGGGTCTCCGGTTCGCTACACTCACCATACGAAACACAGCAGCATTAAGCTACTATTTTACGCTGGTATTCTATTTATTTATTTATTTAACACCAACAAGACATACACTAACAAAAGCATAATATTTTTGCAAAAAAATCATAAAAACTAAGCGTAGACTTAATTATAGGTGTTACACACATTTCATTACAATTTCTGTGACAGCGTGGTCCCTCCCCGGTCTAACCGACCCATTCGTGCTACAACTATACTACTAATATAACTGCAGCATGGCTCCTCTACCACATATACCACCACAACAATATACATTTTGAATAATTTAAAATACCTATTTTGAATAGTGCTCTTAAAAGTATTTGATTTTATTAAGCGGATCTTATCAAATCAATTTTAATATCTTTAATAAAATTGATTTCCGCAAAGTAAGGCCTGATTATATTAATTGTTAACTGATACCGAGTACATCCAGTAAATTCAGTGAGAATGTTTCTTAAATAGGTATATAGTGGACCTCCGGTAATCCGGCCTCTGGCTAATCCGACACGCCTATAACATATAGGTACAATCGAGTCACGTTATGAATCCGCCACGCCTTTAACATATAGGTACAATCGAGTCACGTTATGAATCCGCCACGCCTTTTTAACATATAGGTACAATCGAGTCACGTTATGAATCCGCCACGCCTTTAACATATAGGTACAATCGAGTAGTACACGGCACGTTATGAATCCGCTACGCCTATAACATATCCATCGAGGTACCAATCGAGTCACGTTATGAATCGCCGCCCAAAAACGCCTTTAACATATGCCAAGGTACAATCGAATCCCCACGTTATGAATCCGCTACGCCTTTAACATATAGGTACAATCGAGTCACGTTATGAATCCGCCACGGATGAGCTGTTCTTCACGAATACGTGGGCAAAAAAGTTGACGCATATTATCTCAGTTTAAAAAACATGACTATGATAACGCCCTACCGGTCATTCATTATTTACTGTTTCAGTATTCATTGTGCATTACATGACTTTTTACTTTTCATTATGTTATATTTGATACGCAATTTGTCTGAATCTAGAGGCAACGATGCAGCAGATGAACTGACCAGAAGGGGATCGGCCCTGGCAACTATAGGGCCGGAACCAATAACACCAATTCCCTTTGGCTACGTTCGTTCACTGGTACGTAGGTACTTCAATAATTTACAAGCGCTCAGCTTTGGAAAAATTTAGTAGACTGTAGACAAGCTAGGGAGGCCCTACTGAAATAAACAGTCGTCTTAACCAAGGTTCTAATGAGACTGAACAAGCCCACAGATCAGGATAGTAACAAGTGCTATCACAGGACATGGCTCTTTTAAAAAACATTTGTTCACCATAGGTGTTACTGACAGCCCCCTGTGAAGGGCGAGTATGGGAGAGGAAGAAGCGGCGGCTCACGTGTTGCTGACATGTCCTGAAGTCGCTTCATACAGGGCTAAACATCTCGGCACGCCGGGATCGCTCCCCCAAGTTGCTTGCAACATCAAGGGACTGCTGAGCTTCTTCGGGGAAATATCATGGCTCGAATAACCACATTATTCCTGCCCACATGCAAAATACGCGCTTAGATGTGGAGTTGCGAAAAACAGCCCGTCGTAAACTAAACTAAAATGTAATTTGTCGGATTACAAGGTATGTACTCATTTTCAAAAAGTTATGGATTACCAGGGAGTTTTGGCAGTACTCTATAGTCCGACAAATTTGCAAAACGTTTGTCGGGCTACCGCGGGTTAACTGTATAGACAACTCACCGGTTCTGTAGCCTTCCAACCGTACTTCTCAGTGGCTTCCGCTATATCATATTCAGACTGGAGGAACAGCAGCGTTGCGTGCACTGCTCTCTCTTCGAATTTCTCTGCCTGGAAAAACCATATTTAATCATCTATACAAATAAAAATAATAATTTTTGTCTGTTTGTTTGTTCCGGCTTATCACCGAAATGGCTGGGCCGATTTTGACGACAATTTAACTAGCACATAAATAATATTATAAATATTAACTTAGGCTAGTTTTGTTTTAGAATAATAATTAGGGTTCTGCGCAAAAATAAATAAAACTCATGAACAAATAGGGAAGTATAATAAATTACTAAAAAATATTCTATACGAATGAAGTCACTGATGCTATAAGGAGTGACCCAGGCTACTTTTATTTCAGAAAAACAAATTAAACCCACGAAATCCATTGGTAATAAATTTTACGTCGGACGGAGCTGTGGGGAACAGCTAGTATTTAATTATACCATCTTATAATACCGTGTGGTGGCAACGTTACAGAATTTTGTCGATCATCAGACTGATATACAAGGTTATTTTGGAATAACCGGCCAAAAATGGTGAAGAAAAATTAGTTTTAAAAAATCTCAAACTTTCTGTCTTATTTATCTTTTAAATTCAAAATGCGTGGTAAAGAAGTAACGGTCAGTAAAGTACCTTGTTGCGCGTCTATCGCCCTTTTACCGTTACACCGTAAGTACCTATGTCTGCTCGCCCGACCGACAGCTGACAGTGTTGACCGTGACCTCATAACGTATCCTTAATTGCCAATGACCTAACGAAAACATTCGAACGGCGGATACTACGAAACTGTGAAATAGCGATATTGCATGTGAATATTACATTTTAAGCGATAAAAAGTAACGTATGACAGACAAAGATATTAAAGTGAGTCTTTACCGCGGTGAGAAATAAGCGTATGTGTCGTAATTAACCCACCAATCGAATCAAGAGATGTTGCATCTCTTTGCGTATTTTATCGCATCTATCACGGGGAGTGCTCTGAGGAATTGTTCGGATTAATCCCAGCCGCCAAATTTCGTGAACGCACTACACGGCAAACGTCCCGATACCATCCACACCATCCGGATGCTTGGCGGTCCACCACTGTACGTTTCAAAAGGAGTTTTCTTCCGCGTACAACCTCTCTGTGGAATAATTTACCACCGGCGATTTTTCCGGACCGATACGACCTGGGGACCTTCAAGAAAAGAGCTTACTCCTTTCTAAAGGGCCGGCAACGCACCTGCAATTCCCCTGGTGTTGCGGTTGATCATGGGCGGCGGTAGTCACTTAACATCAGGTGAGCCACATGCTCGTTTGCCCCCTCTTCTATAAAAAAAAAATCAAACTATTCAAGTGCAGTGAGCGATAATTTAAATAGTGAATGTGCAAACTCGCCGGAACTTTCACCGTTAGTCGTGTGCCAGGCCAGCGCGACGCGTCATGCGTCTGTGATGAGCAGGAAAATAACAACATAAGACGAACGGTAGGTGCCATGTTGGCGCGTCAGGCGACCAGCGATGGACATAGTATGTGTTGGCGCGTGCGTATTAATCAAATCGTGTTGATTTTTCCGCGATACAAAACATAAATACGGATAAGTTTACTAACGAAATAATGTCTCGGTCTACAATATGGTCCAGTAAGCATGAAACTTATAAGCATAATACTATACTTCGCAAAACTTTTGTGGGTGACGTATTTCATCATACAGTCTTTAATATTTATCAAAACGATGCCTGTTTTAGTTTAAATCATAAACTCCCATTTTAATTTGCATTATATCTTGTGCAAAAAAACTACTCCCTTCTAAGCACAAAAGTGCCAATTTAGAAAAACTCATTTTTTAACCGTGCAAATAATAGCAGGAAGTAAACCACGTGTAATGCAGCCGCCTCCACTGTAGTATGCCCTAACGTGGCAAGGTGCAGCGGCTTCACTCCTCCAGGTCGCCTCCCCTCCCCACAGTCGCTCTATCGTGGCCAACGCCTTAGGGTTCTATCAGACAGGAAGCGGTCACGAGCTCACGAATCACGAACGCCTACGTTCTGGTTGACCAACGCGGTCAGAATGCCAGCTGTCTAGATGTCTATATAACGTAATACAACACAACGAACGCAGAACGCGAACGCGGAACGATTGAACGCCTGAACGCCTTCTGTCTGATAGATCCCTTAGTCTTTTATGTGTGTATAGTCGTGTTTACGTCAAACAGGTCAAAAGTTATGACGACCGCTACAGTAAAATTATTGCTGCGTTCACGGAAGTTAGAAGTGCTCAAGAACACACGTAATAAGTGTAATTTTTTTTAACAAAACGTGCTTGTCTATGCATAAAGAATGTGGCCTGTTGACCCGAGACCGTTCGGCAATCTTTGGAAGCCCCCGGCGCAGAAGCAAACAATTCTGTTTGTCTCGTCTAACCAGTCGATACTATCGTCCGATGCCGTCAGATTACATTTTGAGTTACCAATATTAGAGAGAATACTTGCGTATTTTAATGTAAATAGTTTATTCCAGTTTTTTTAATACGTTATAATAAGGACAGTTGTTGGTTACGTCGTTGATAAGCAAAACATATATTTCCATGTGGTAATTATCTTAAGCATTAGTAATAAGCGTGGCACTAAAAGAGTAAACCGTAGACAAAAACTTGAGAAACGAAAACGTGAATTGAATCACACATACAGAAGCGCGCGTAAAATTAATTGTTGCCCATAAATCATATTCAATTTGGGATAATTTCAAATAAAAGTAGAAGCCCTAATTACGCGTATTTAAAAAAAAGTTATATCGTATACTTCAATGTAAAATTTGGCTACTCATTGAAAAATAACCCTGTATACATGAATCATTTTACTCATTTGGTCCTTCGAGCCGGATCGCTTTGCTCAGTGAATTTATGCGGGTTTATGAAAAAGGATATGAATACAGGCAGGCTTTAAATGTGTGAAACACAGACAGTATTTATATTATGTATGTATGACCGTATTTTTTTTATAGAATAGGGTGACAAACGAGCACACAGTCCACCTGATGGTAAGTGGTTGCTGCGGCCCATAGACATCTACATCTATCTTCCATTACAAATCAAAATGCAGATGCGTTGTCACCCGCGAGGACTGAGATGGAATGCCTCATTTCCAGTAACAAGGGTCTCCGGTTCTCTACACTCACCATACGAAATACAGCAGCATTAAGCTACTATTTCACGCTGGTATTCTGTGAGAGCGTGGTCCTTCACCGGTCGAGCCGACCCATTCGTGCTACAACTATACTACTAATATAACTGCAGCATGGCTCTACCACGTAAATAATATTTATATTAATTTGTCTTTTAATTTGTGTATTTTTGTATCTTTTCTATGAAAAGTATCTCAGCTATTTATCATCATCATCATCATTACAGCCCTTCACAAGTCCACAGCTGAACATAGGCCTCCCCCAAGTAATGCCACAAAGCACGGTCCTCAGCCACTTACATCCATTGACTTCCTGCACGTCCTACCCGGTCATAACCCCATTTAGTGGGTCGCCCTGCACTACGCCTAACGGTACAAGGCTGCCACTCTAGAACCTTTTTTCCCATCGGTTGTCGGTTCTTCGAGCTATATGGCCGGCCCATTGCCACTTCAGCTTACTAAGCCTTAAGGTTCTACTGCGGATATCCTCATTTATAAGTTTATCACACAGAGAAACCCCGAGCACAGCCCTCTCCATAGCTCTCTGAGGGACATATAGCTCATACGGCCAGCAGTCAAGGATTACGTCTAAGATCTATAAGTCATCACTGGCAACACGCAATGATTGTACAATCTAGTTTTCAGGTTTTGAGGTATACCTGACGAGATGTGTCGTAATTTCCCGAACGCTGCCCAGCCGAGTTGAATCCGTCGATTGACCTCTCAGGTATTAAATATAATTAATCACCTCATTTCTTCTTATAAGTAATTAGGTGTCGACTCGCCGTGAAGTGACAGTGTAAGAATATCAACTACCCCATATGGACTATATAAAAGTATAGGCGTGGATGTCGCTTACGATAGAGACGACAGAGGAAAACCAAACAGAAGATGGGCAGCATCTTTCATATAATGAAGCAATAATAAAAAAGCTCCAGTTGCTAACCTGCCTGTAAATTGTAGCAACTCAACTATAAAGAATATTTCCCTTGAAAATAACTTATGGGAAGGCCTATGTTCACCAGTCAGCTTTAGAAAGGCCAGATAGGTGCCAGTATAATATTCTTATAATATATACCACACCATGTTGTGGCGGTGTAAGAATATCCACTATCCCATATCGCTCTGTAGGTATTGTCCAAACTTGGGCTTCATAACAATAAAAACTGCCGATTGAATTACCAAAGTCGACAATTTAATTGCCGAACATCAATTACAACTTAAAACACACTAATAATAAAACATTGACTGCCTCGTTGGTCTAGTAGTTATAGTAGTGCGACTGCTGATCACGAGGTCCTGGGTTCGAATCCCGGGTCGGGCCAAAAAATTAATTATGAGTTTTTCCGTCAAAAAATTCTTAGTAGTTGCCCGGAGTCAGGAAGTTGACGGTGTCTCACCCCCGTGCCTCGGAAAGCACGTAAAGCCGTTGGTCCTGCGCCTGCCTCCCCGATTATGAGAGTGAGGGAATAGAGAGTGCACCTATGCTTGCGCATACACTTGGGCACTATAATCCTGTCCTGCGCCAATGGCTAGTCTCCGTTGAGGCAGGCCGCCGTGGCCGAAATTCGGTCTGGAGGACATTAATAAAACACAATTGTACTACTGATCACTTTAGTTCGCAGTGATATCGCTCGAAGTATTCGCTTGAATTACCAATTCAATACTGACTCGGGTCGCGGTCCTTACCGGCCTTTTATAGGGCCTCTCCTACTGAATTATCTAGAACGTTCGAGTACATACCGGTTCCGACTGACTAGGTGTAGAAAGTTCTGGCATGGATATCTCTAAAAGGATCTTAACTCTCCTAGTTCTGCCACACGACACTAGAGGGCGATAGTAGTAACTAATGTCGCCACGTACCACGCATTAATTATGGCACGCAACAGTATCTTAAGAGAAAAAACAAACCTGGAGATAGGCAGAGCCTACGCTCAAGACTTTCGCCTGATAGGACTGAGAAATGAGGATATCTGCAGTAGAACTAGAGTAACCAACATAGCCTAACGGATCAGTAAGCTGAAGTGGCAATAGACCGGCCATATAACTCGACGAACCGATAACCGATGGGGAAGAAAAGTTCTCGAGTGGCTGCCTGGCACCGGTAAGCGGTTCCTCACTAAATAGGGTGCAGTCGATGAATGCTGGTGGCTCAGGACCGCGCTTTGTGGCATTCCATGGGAAAGGCCTGGAGAGGACTTATCCCGCACCCTTTGGTAATTATGCCAATACACTTACTGGTTTTTTATTGAATCTCTCCAACTCTTCAGCAACAACAGTTTTGTAGTGTTCAGAATGAATAGTCCTAACAGCCGTCGGTGTCTCCAGCATAACTTCATACAGAGTCCAGAGTAATGTTTCTTCGCTTTCAACTGAAAAACAAATTACAATTATTTATGTTGGTATACTGTACATGCAAATTCCTTACTCTGAGCAAAAAAAAGGAAACACATTCAGTTTGCCATAGAATTGTCAAGAATTTTAATTAGTAAATTGAATATGAAAAATAATAAGAAAATTAATTACCTAAGGAACAATTTAACTTTACTAGTACGCGTTCATTTCAAGTTTGCTATCGACTAGTTAGGCGACTAGTCGACGATGATATCACAGCCGACGGTACCGTAGACAAAACAAATTATCATGTTTATCTATAATATTGCATAAAGATGATGACTATTTTTTTTGCCAAATTAAGTAAAACTAAGTAAGTAGTTTGTACTACACAGAAATTGAGAGCAAACAAGTAGATAAAATGCATATTATAAAATAATTTATTTAGTAAAATGAAATAATTACAGTGAATAAGAACATGTCCGATACAATTATAAAATGTTATAATTAAAGTCTTATATAGTTTTATTTTACATTTAAAGCATTTCCAATACGTAAAACATTACGAAGGCGCTGCTATCGGTACTAGAAGGGCGACGCTTCAGGCGCGGAGTGAGGGAGCGCGGCGGGAGGTAACGGCTCTTGTAATGAACAAGTAGTATGTTTTTTTTAAATACAGTATTTGATATCTTCTTTATAATGATTCTTTTTTCATTAAAAAAGTTATACTTTAGAGATGGTACCTTAAAAAAATTAAAAGGGCGAAAGTAGGGAATAAAGTTTCTAATGTAACTTGAGCTGGTGATATTGCTTAGTCTACTTAAAAGGGTCCAAAAGTTAAGCTTTTAATAAATTGTAAAAGCCATCTTAGCCATCTTAGTTATATATTTACATTGTGTTTGTTTAGTAACTTAGTTCTTTTAGGTGTCTTTTGGAAGATTGAATATTCACTAGAGTAATTGAAAGCCGTTGGTAGTGCCTTATAAGCTAAGTGAACCTCGTTCACGAAGACAGGGCTCAAGAAAGGTTAAGAACATTAAAACATTGAAATAATACTAATTTTTACGGAATTTATCGCGTATATTTAACTTTTTAAAAAAAGTTAAATATACGCGATAAATTCCGTAAAAATTAGTATTATTTCAATGTGTAGTGTTCGCGTAAATATAAGAAATCATTATGTAAACCAGTACGGACTGGTAATTGCAAAATAAAATACGCCGATTAGAAGATCTAAAGACCAAGCGCGCAAAATATCTAACAGCCTTAAATTTCTTGAAGAGATGCCGTGACCATAATCTCATTCCTACGTGTGTCAAAATATCAACCAAAAAGGACATTCGAGGAAGCGCTAAGATCTTAAATCAGGCGAGTAAAAAGTTGTTACGGACGGTAATCCAACAAAAACGCTCGATCTATATGACATAAATAAATCCATAGACACATCATCCAGTGAATTGAAGAAAATTTTAACGACGTTTGACTATAATTTTTGCATGGAAACATTAAATAAACGCGAAATTAGTAAATATTAAGAATTCAAAAACAAACATATAGCAAAATATCAAAAATTAACGAACAAGTCAAATGTCAAACATCTGAATCAATGCCAGAACCAAAAGCAACCATTGACAAACACAGAACATAGATTAATCGCGCTCTATAATCTGTCAAAACAAACACTGGATGATGCAACAATTAGGGTTTTATCCAAAGGCCTCAACTTTGCTATTATACCCCGCAAATTACCGTACGAAGAAATTATCTGTAGTGTCGAGGACTGTTTATTTAAAAACAATATGCGGAAAGAAGATTTGGAGGCGATACGTCAAGACATTTCGTCTATGTTACGTCGATGTTCAGTGCCTAAACCGAATCTTCCCAAAGACGAATTTATAGCGTTAAAGAACCTACGCAATAAACCAGAACTTACGATTCTCCGCGCAGATAAGGGAAACGCCACGGTAGTCATCGATACGTCAGATTATAATTCTAAAATACAAGAACTTTTGTCGGATGTAAGTACTTATAAAAAGGTTAAAAACGACCCAACAAATAGCACACTAAAAACAACTAGTGACCTCATAAAGAAACACTCCGAAATATTAAATTTGGACGTAAAATGGATAATACCTACGTGCGCCAAATCACCAAAATTGTATGGGTTACCAAAAATACACAAGCCCAATGCTCCATTACGTCCCATAGTGAGCCAAATCGATTCACCAACTTACAGATTAGCTCAACACTTAGCGAAAATACTCTCACCGCTCAGGGTACATACAAGAGCACACATAAAGGATTCCTACCATTTTGTCAGCGAGATTAAAGACCTACATCTGGCAGACAATGAAACTATGGTCAGTTTTGATGTGCAGTCATTGTTTACATGCTTACCTGTTGAAGACTGCATCTCAATTGTAACTAGAAGGCTGGAAGAAAACAACATGCCCGTAGAATATGCAGTATTACTCAGACACTGCCTTACATCTGGCTACCTATTGTGGAAGGAGGAGTTCTACAAGCAAGTAGATGGTGTGGCGATGGGCTCACCTGTATCTCCCATTGTCGCCGACATATTCATGGAAGACTTTGAGGAGAAAGCCCTGCTTAGTTCTCCCATAAATCCAAGATTCTACAAGCGGTACGTAGACGACACTTTTACAATTCTACCTTTAGATAAAGTAACTGCATTTTTAGACCATCTTAACTCTATAAATTCTAAAATTCAGTTCACAATGGAGTTAGAGGCAAACAATTCCTTAGCTTTTCTAGATGTGTTAGTAATTCGGAATCCTGATAACACCTTGAGCCATACTGTGTATAGAAAAAAGACCCATACAGATAGATATTTAAACGGTGAATCTCACCACCATCCTTCACAGTTAGCTACCGTGGGTAAATCTTTGTTTCAGAGAGCACGAGGGATCTGTGACAGTAAACACCTGGCTGCCGAGCTCCACCATGTCAAGCAAGTTTTGCATGACAACAAGCTTCGAATCCCGCGCCTACGTCACAGTGAACGAGTGAAGCCGGCCACAGTCGAGCGTGTACCTGCTGTACTGCCATATGTTAGAGGAGTCACTGACAAGATTGGCTACATCTTGAAGCGAAACATACTTCAAGCCGCTGAAGAAGATTGGTCAGTTTTTACCATCAGTCAAGTGTAATGTCCCTCTGCAAGATGCAGGAGTGTACAAGCTTGATTGTGAATGTGGTCTCTCCTACATAGGACAAACTAAAAGATCAATAAAAACCCGCGTTAAAGAACATATAGTTGATGTGAAGAATCAACGCTCCGGAAAGTCTGCAGTCTGTGAACACGTACAGGATCGCCCCCGTCACTACATCAGATTTGATAGACCGCAAATCTTCGCTAAAGAACACCGATTCCTTCCAAGGATGATTCGCTAGGCTATTGAAATCAAAAAACATCCTAATTTCAATAGAGAAGATGGCTGGGTGCTACCATCTGCTTGGGATCCTATAATAAATAAAATTAAATCCCAACCCAAGCATACAACTGCAAAACTTCAAGATACCATAAGTTCATACTGTGTAGATCGGAACAAAAGTTAAATTTTAACTATGACATATGAACGTTGAACATCTCAGTCCCGCCCGTAAAAATGAGTGCTGTAAAGCGTTCGAAACGTCGGGTATTTTAAAAAAGTTAAATATACGCGATAAATTCCGTAAAAACTAGTATTATTTCAATGTGTAGTGTTCGCGTAAATATAAGAAATCATTAACATTAAAACATCCCTGTTCCTATCAGGTTAACATTATTATTTATTATTAATTATCCCTTCCCACTTAGGAAAGGCTCACAATATATTTATACATAAAATACCCGATACAAGGATTTCACTCCCCCACTTTTTTTAAGGACCTCAAGAAGGACCCGAAGAAGGTTAGTAATATTGGATGACGAATTTGTGTGTAGAAAAATACATCATTGTTCATCCTTATCGGTATTTTTAGTCACCCCGCACGTAACAATATGCATAGGTAACAAGTGGCAAATTAAGGCAACATATGTGACAAGTTATTCAAGTAAATATAATGACCAAAATTAACTTTATCAAAGCTTAGTGTAAACTAGAATGGTCCATTACCTGTAAGCCAGGAACTGTGCTCTCGATTCAAGAGTTGTTTCAACGAAGTCCAGACTCCTGCTATGGGGACTATCGAAGGCCAAAGTTTCACATACATGGAGAACTCGTGTTTCAGAAGAGTGCTGAAAACAGAAGACACAAGTTTAAATTTGCCTGCAGTGCCTTGATTCGCTCTAGAAGACTCAACTCTTACTTTGCATTTACAAGTCGCCTTGCTATTAATGTTTTTGTAAAAACTTACATTTTAAAAACATTTATTGACCTTTGATCTATAGCTGCAGCACGGCTCTGCCATGCAATATAATATAATACGTGGTAGAGCCACGCTGCAGCTATATTATGATTGTACACCACACTCTCACAGAATACCAGCGTAAAATGGCAGCTTTATGCTGCCCTTTTAACTGGAAGCGAGGCATTCCATTTTAGTCCTCAGGGGTGACAATGCATCTGCGTTTAGATTTTTAATTAAGACGAGGCCTGGAGCTAACGCAAGATTTATAATGCCTCAAAGTATATGATCCACTGCAGTATACAAACCCAGAAAATATATATATTTTTCTGGATATATCATCATCATCATAATCATTACAGCCTTTACAAGTCCACTGCTGAACATAGGCCTCCCACAAGTAATGCCACAAAGTACGGTCCTGAGCCAACTGAATCCATCGACTTCCCGCATGTCTTACCAGATCGTCACTCCATCTAGTGGGGGGGTCGCCCTACACTACGCCTACCAGTACGAGGCTGCCACTCGAGAACCTTTCTTCCCCATCGGTTATCGGTTCTTCGAGCTATATGGCCGGCCCATTGCCACTTCAGCTTACTAATCCTTTGGGCTATGTCGGTCACTCTGGTTTTACTGCGGACATCCTCATTTCTCATATATCACGCAGAAAAACTCCGAGCATAGCCCTCTCCATAGCTCGCTGAGCGATCTCGAGCGTCCTCATACGGCCAGCAGTGAAGGACCACGTCTCAGATCTGTAAGTCATCACTGGCAACACGCACTGGTTGTACACTTTAGTTTTCAGAGATTGAGGTATACCTGACGAGAAGATGTGTCGTAATTTCCCGAACGCTGCCCAGGGGAGTTGAATCCGTCGATTGACCTCTCGGTCGAAGTTGGACTTACCTAGTCGGATTATTTTTCCCAGGTAAACGTACTCGTCAACAACTTCGAGCATAGTGCTCCCAACAACTACCGGCATAGGTGTAACATGGACATTAAACATGATCTTTGTTTTGTCCATGTTCATCTTAAGAGCTATCCGTTGGGAGACACCATTGAGGTCATTGAGCATAGTGCTAATGTCCTCCAGCGATTCTGCCATAAGGAATATATCGTCGGCAAATCGAAGGTGAGTGATGTACTCGCCATTGATGTTAATACCGTATCCTTTCCAGTTCAGTAGCTTGAAAACGTCTTCCAACGCAGCGGTGAAGAGTTTCGGGGATATAACGTCACCCTGTCTTACACCTCTCTGCAGTTGGATAGGGTTTCGAACTCTGGTTCTGTACTTGGATAGCCAAAGTCGTGAGTCCTACTGTACAAACACTTCAGCATTTCGAAAACAGCACGTAGACGCGGCTCAGACCGATTTGTCTGTAGTTCTTCAAGAGAGCGTCGTCGCCTTTCTCAAAGAACAAGATCACCGCACTTCTGCTCCACGCCTCCGGAGTAGTGCCACCATGGCGGACGGAATTGAAGAGCTTCTGAAGGACTTCAAGTACCGGTGTTCCACCCGCTTTCAGAAGCTCCGCTGTAATTCCATCCTCGCCTGGGGCCCTGCCGTTTTTAAGGTGCTGGAGAGCCATTCTAATCTCGCTCAGACTGACGTCCGGGATATCATCGGAATAGTGTCGGATAAGACTTGCTCTTGGATCGTTACTCACTCTTGCGTGTGGCTCCAACGATGATGTGTACAGCTGCCCATAGAACCTCTCAATTTCACTCAAAATCTCAGGTGTCCCGGAAACGATGCTGCCACATTCAGGCTTCAGCTTTGACAGTTGGCAGACAGATCTCTGGCAAAGACTTTGGAGCCCTGGTTCCGCTCGATCGCTTCTTTAATTCGAGCAGTATGCGTAAGTCTCGCCGCATGCATTTGGAGATCTGTCTGTTCAGTTGCCTGTATGCTGTCAAATCTGTTGACGATTGCAGCCTCATCTCCCGTCTAACAGCCATGAGATTAAGAGTGTGATCGGAGAGTTTTTGTGTTCTTCTGCGGCGGGTCCTGCAGAACTTAGCTCCGACCGCATGGACAGTTTCCACGAGCTTGTCATTCATATCGTCCACTGCATTGCAATCTTCTAGGCACTGAAAGCAGTTACGTAACTCGAGCTGAATGGTTTCGGGATTCTGGATTAGAGCACGAGGGGGACGGAGCGTTGACTTCATTTGACGAGACGTCTCCAACTTAACGTTTAGGTTCAGTGTGCCTTTAACCATTCGGTGATCGCTGCCAGTTTTCATCCTTGCGATCACTGAGACATCACTGAACAGTTGGCGTCTGGTCGTCATAATGAAGTCAATCTCATTTTTTGTCGAACCGTCGGGGCTCGACCAGGTTCACTTTCTGTGGGGCCGCTTCTGTAAGAAAGAGTTCATCATAAAGAATCCTTTTTTCTCCATAAAGTCGGCCAGCTGCTGGCCCCTTCGGTTCCGTTGCTCTACTCCAAATTTCCCTAACTTCAGCTCACCGTTTTCTCTTGTGCCTAGTTTTGCGTTGAAGTCTCCCATCAACACCGTGTAGTGGTTTTTGGAGGAATGCATGGCTCTGGAAATATCCTCATACATTTCCTCCACCTCCTCATCGGGATGTGCCGAGGTTGGTGCGTAAACCTGTATGACCTCCAGCAAATACCGTTTGGTGATTCTAAGTATCAGTTACGCGACCCTCGTCGACACACTCCCAATCTTTACAACGTTGTTGAAGAGAGACTTGTGGACGATAAATCCGACACCTCCTTGGGACAGATGGTCGCCCTCCTGGTGATAGAACAAGTTGCCGGACTCGAGGATTACCGTGTCCTCCCCCTCTCTTCGGACCTCGGATAATCCAATAATATGCCAGCGCAACTTGTTTACCTCTTCTTCTAGCTCCAGTATCTTCTCGTCAGTCCTCAGGGTGCGTGCGGTACATGTTGCCAGGTCGAGTCGTCGTAGGTGGCAACCGAACCTCCACCGGAGGTTCTTAGCACCCCCTGCCCCGCCGTTACCATGGTCGCCACCGTAGCCAGGAATAGCGGGACAGCCGGGGACTGGGGGCCGTTTGTTTGCGTCGTTATTCATGGGGGATATTTGCCATAATGCCGGTATATCGAAGTTCTGAAGTGTTTGTACAGTAGGGCTACGAAGGCTATCCGAGTACAGAACCAGAGTTCGAATCCTATCCAACTGCAGAGAGGTGTAAGACAGGGTGACGTTATATCCCCGAAACTCTTCACCACTGCGTTGGAAGACGTTTTCAAGCTACTGGACTGGAAAGGATACGGTATTAACATCAATGGAGAGTAATCACTCACCTTCGATTTGCCGATGATATAGTCCTTATGGCAGAATCCCTGGAGGACCTTAGCACTATGCTCAATGACATCAATGGTGTCTCCCAACGGATAGGACTTAAGATGAACATGGACAAAACTGAAAGATCATGTTTAATGTCCATGTCACACCTATGCCAGTAGTTGTTGGGAGCACTATGCTCGAAATTGTTGACGAGTACGTTTACCTGGGACAAATAGTCCGACTAGGTAAGTCCAACTTCGACCGAGAGGTCAATCGACGGATTCAACTCGGCTGGGCAGCGTTCGAGAAATTACGACACATCTTCTCATCAGGTATACCTCAATCTCTGAAAACTAAAGTGTACAACCAGTACGTGTTGCCAGTGATGACTTACGGATCAGAGACGTGGTCCTTCACTGCTGGCCGTATGAGGACGCTCAAGGTCGCTCAGCGAGCTATGGAGAGGGCTATGCTCGGGGTTTCTATGCATATATACTATATGTAGTAGAACCAGATTGACTGTCATAGCCCAACGGATTAGTAAGCTGAAGTGGCAATGGGCTGGCCATATAGCTCGAAGAACCGATAACCGATGGGCTAGAAAGGTTCTCGAGTGGCAGCCTCGTACCGGTAGGCGGAGTGTAGGGCAACCCCCCACTAGAGGGAGTGACGACCTGGTAAGACATGCAGGAAGTCGATGGATGCAGGTGGCTCAGGACCGTGCTTTGTGGCATTGCTTGGGGGAGGCCTATGTTCAGCAGTGGACTTGTGAAGGGCTGTAATGATGATGATATTTGCCATAGTTACCACGCTTGGCGAGCGGGTTGGCAACTGCAGTTTTTTTATTATATCACTGTTGTTATCAGGAAGATGCTGCTGCCCATCTCTTGCCCTGTCTCCCTCTGTCGCCTCTTACGACACCCACCTGAAGATATGGGGTATATGCTAGTTAGATATTTTGTTGAAAACATGATACCACTAATATGATACGACAGATAAAAAATCAGAAATATTCCTCTAATAACTTCTTTTAACAAGTAAAAACCATAATGATTTCTTATATTTACGCGAACACTACACATTGAAATAATACTTGTTTTTACGGAATTTATCGAGTATATTTAACTTTTTTAACTTTTTAAATACCCGACGTTTCGAACGCTTTACAGCACTCATGGTCACGGGCAGGACTGAGATGTTCAACGTCCATATGTCATAGTTAACCGCGGTTACCATAGATTAAAATTTTAACTTTTGTTCCGATCTATGCAGTATGAACTTATGGTATCTTGAAGTCTTGCAGTTGTATGCTTGGGTTGGGATTTAATTTTATTTATTATAGGATCCCAAGCAGATGGTAGCACCCAGCCATCTTCTCTATTGAAATTAGGATGTTTTTTGATTTCAATAGCCTCGCGAATCATCCTTGGAAGGAATCGGTGTTCTTTAGCGAGGATCTGCGGTCTATCAAATCTGATGTAGTGACGGGGGCGATCCTGTACGTGTTCACAGACTGCAGACTTCCCGGAGCGTCGATTCTTCACATCAGCTATATGTTCTTTAACGCGGGTTTTTATTGATCTTTTAGTTTGTCCTATGTAGGAGAGA